GATGACAAAAAAGGCATACTAAAGCAATCCTCACACCTGTAAAGCAAAGACATGAGATGAACAGATTTTCATCTTAAAAAGTTCTTACCTTCCTGAGCTTTCCTTGGCCAGAAAAATACTTTTTTTTAACTTTATCTGGCATTGCATTGTCCTTGCATTTGTCCACCTGCTTCGGTCTTAGCCTATTCAAGTTCTCCGGCATGGAGGGGGAGCGATATAGGCAGCTTCTGTTCACTGAGGCCTGTTTGGGAATATTAAACGCTTCAGTTCTTAACTCCTTTAAGTGTGTCTGCAGATCAGCAGCATCAACATTTCCTGGGAGCTTCTTTGAAATGCAGATTTCCAGATGTTAGGCCATACCCTAGACCTATTGAATCAAAATCTGCATTTTAACGTGATGCCCAGGTGATTTCTCAAGTTTGAGAAGCCCTGGGTAGCAACCTGTCTTCATAGGCCCATTCACATCTTTCTACTTGGACTGCATGATATTCCATCTCCATGGACGTTTTAACTAGCCAAACCAAATTCTGCAGCTGACTGTCTTAGATGTACCAGTTCTTACAGCAGAAAGCAAACACAAGCTCAGACCCTCCAGTTATGTGACAAAAAAATGCAAACAAACATAAGTCCATTTTGTCTCTAGCATTCTGGGACTTGACAATAAGGATTTAAGGACCTCAACAAACCAAAAGATGAAAAGCCAAGAAGAAAAATAGCAAAAGAAGCATCATGCAAGAAAAAAGGACACACTAAAATCAAATAGCATGATGACCATTACAGGACTGATATTATGAATCCTATAGTACCAATGAAGCCCACCAGGGAAAAAAATGGCTCAAATGTCATGAAAAGCTAGCTGTGAGAATTGCTTACAGGAACAGACAAAAGTATAAGAGGACAGATAGACTACTCTTTATTTGAAAGGCATGGTTTGGGTGCTACATCCAAAGTCAAGAAGATCTATCAAATGACCTCTGATAACAACTTCCACCTAATCCATAATCCTATCCTCTGGTCCCACATACCTTGAGATCTCTACCTCTGACCTAGAGAATAGGCAAAAGCTCCTTCTCTAAACCCTTATCTCACTACCTGTTAAGGATTGATTTAGGAGGGGGCAATAAAATAAGAGAGCCATAACTGGAAGGCAGCTTGATTATCAATGGTTTCTGAAAGAAGAAAATAGGAATAACATTTTACATTATAACAACTGTGGATATTATGCTGTTTACCACACACATGGTTCTATCTCTTGCTCATGGTGCCAGCTGATAGTACAGTCCACATTACACTTGCCAATACTCTATACCTTTCCCCTTAAACTCCTCCCAAACATTGCCCTATGCCCCCATCCACCCTACCCCCTAGCCAATGATGACTGGACTATATTGCTGGTTGAATACATTTATTTAGTGTCTAGAATAAGGAAAAATAATCTAGGCCAATCAGGTTCTCTCTCGGTAGCCTAACTTGGAAGATGGAGAAATAACTATGCAGTAGCAGCAGCCAAAGCCCAAAAGGAAGAAGCCAACAGATGCAGTCAAGGCCAGGAAGCCAGTGATGCATGAATGGAGAAACCAAAGGTAGGGTAGGAAAGGAGAGGTGGTGAGGAGCTGAGGAGCAGGGTGTCTCGTCTCCATGACAGACATGACTTCATATAACTTCAATTTTCCTGAGACGGCAGGAGAAAGCTAGATAAGGGTTTTAAGAGCTTCTCTAGAATATACCATAATAATTATGCTAAGAGCCATATTATTAAGAGTTTGCAATTAATTAGCTAATTGAAACTTATCCTTTATTTTTTGAGACAGAGTCTCACTGTGTCCAGGCTGGAGTGCAGTGACACAATCTCAGCTCACTGTAACCTCCGACTCCCCAGTTCAAGTGATTCTCCTGCCTCAGTCTCCAAGTAGCTGAGATTACAGGCTCGCGCCACCACGCCCAGCTAATTTTTGTATTTTTAGTAGAGATAGAGTTTTACCATATTGGCCAGGATGGTCTGTCTCGATTTTCTGACCTTGTGATCTGCCTGCCTCGGCCTCCCAAAGTGCTAGGATTACAGGTGTGAGCCACTGTGCCTGGCCTTTTTTTTTTTTTTTTGAGGTAGGATCTCACTCTGTAACCCTGGTTGGAGTGCAGTGGCGGAATCTTAGCTCATTACAGCCTCTGCCTCTCGGGTTCAAGCGATCCTCCCAACTCAGCCTCCAGAGTAACTGGGACTAGAGGGGGGGTACATCACCATGCCCAGCCAATTTCTGTATTTTTTGCAGCGACGGGGTTTTGCCATGTTGCCCAGGCTGGTCTCAAAGTCCTGGGCTTAAGTGATCCATCTGTCTTGGCCTCCCAAATTGCTGGGTTTACAGGTATGAGCCACCACACCTGGTCTGTATCCATCTTTAAGCATAACATCCAATAAATTTTTGCCCAACTCAAGGTCAAAAATTTTCTCCTGTTTTCTTTGGATTTTTTTTTTTTTTGAGACAGAGTGTCACTCTGTTGTCCAGGTTGGGGTGCAGTGGCACGATCTTGACTCACTGCAACCTCTGCCTCCCAGATTCAAGCGATTCTCCTTGCCTCAGCCTCCTGAGTAACTGGGATTATAGGCGCCTGCCACCACACCTGGCTAATTTTTATATTTTTAGTAGAGATGGGGTTTCATCATGTTGGCCAGGCCGATCTTGAACTCCTGACCTCAGGTGATCCACTGGCCTCAGCCTCCCAAAATGTTGGGATTACAGGCACGAGCCACCGTGCCTGGCCCTTCTTCAGGTGTTTTATGGTTTAAAGTTGTAGATTTGGAGCTATGATCCATTTTGTGTTAATTTTCATATATAATGTAAGGTATGGGTTGAAGTACTTTTATTTTTTAACATAGGATTTCCAATTGCTCCAGAACAATTTGTTGAAAAGACTATACTTTCTCCATTTGATTATTTTGTATCTTGGTTGAAATACCAATTACATATGTGCATAGGTCTATTTCTCAAATCTCTGTTCTGTTCTGCCAATGTTTTAAGTTTTTGGTAGCCATCATGCTGATAATTAAGGTGATAAACGTCTTCATATAGTCCAAGGACAAGACATTAAAAATAAATGATAGCAGAAAACTACTTCCACAAACAGAAACAGCTACTTCAGCAGCCAGACATGGTGGCTCACACCTGTAATCCAAACACTTTGAGAGGCCAATGTGGGCGAATCGCTTGAGTCTAGTAGTTTAAAACCAGCTTGGGCAACATGGTAAAACTGTGTCTCTACAAAAAAATATAATAATTACCAAGGTGTGGTAATGTGTGCCTGTAGTCCCACCTACTTGGGAGGCTGAGGTAGAAGGATCAATTGAGCCCAGGAGGTCGAGGCTACGAGGCTACAGTGAGCTGTGATCATACCACTGCATTCCAGCCTGGGTAATGGAGTAAGCCTCTGTCTTTTCTGTGGAAAAAAAAAAAAAAAAAAAAAAGAGCAAGCTACTTCTTTCCTATACACTTATATGAAAAGAAATGTCAACTTATTGCAAAGAATGTCAAGTGCTAGGTCATGGAGAGATGATGAAGATGGTACTTTAGTTCTGTCTAGCTAGTTAGAAGTTTCCCAGCTCCCAGAAGCTGATGTGGGACGATCCCAGGATAATTTGGCTTAGATAACACTCAACATCTACCCATTTTCAATCTTTTAAGAATCACTAGACACTTTCCAAATATGGGAGTATTTAAGCACCGAGAAAGCCAAAAAGAAGAGAGGAAAACTTATTAAACTAGATTCAATCTGCAGATTTTATAAAAAGGCTTCATTGAATAATTATTATTTTATAAACTGAAGCAGCATCACCATTTCCTCATGGCCGACACACTCTTCAGTATACGTAAGCCAGCCTGGCTTCTGCCTACACCACTCTTGTGCTCTTGTTAAAGCTATTGACAACCTTCACGTTGTAGCATCTCAGTCACTTCTCTAGCCACATTATCTTCCTGAATCTCACATCTGCTTCCATTGAGTTGGCTGCTCCATTTTTATTGTCTTCAACGGCACCTCCTACTCTTTTAATTATTTTTAATTATTATTATTATTTTTTGAGACGGAACCTCCCTCTGGTACCCAGGCTGGAGTGGAGTGGCACAATTTCAGATCACTGCAACCTCCACTTCTGGGTTCAAGTGATTTTCCTGCCTCAGCCTCCCAAGTAGTTGGGATTACAGGCGTGTGCCATCACCTGCCCCCACCCCAACCCAGGCTAATTTTTGTATTTTTATTTACATTATTTTATTGAGACAAAGTCTGGCTCTGCTGCCCAGGCTAGAGTGCAATGGTGCTATCTCAGCTCACTACAACCTCTGCTTCCCGGGTTCAAGCGATTCTCCTGCCTCAGCCTCCCAAGTAGCTGGGATCACAAACATGAGCCATCATGCCTGGATAATTTTGTATTTTTATTTTTTAATTATTATTATTTTTAAAATTTTGTATTTTCAGTAGAGACAGGGTTCACCCTGTTAGCCAGGCTGGTCTCAAACTCCTGACCTCAAGTGATCCGCCCGCCTCAGCCTCCCAAAGTGCTAGGATTACAGGTATGAGCCACGGTGCCTGGCCTAGTTCTTTATTTCTAGTACAGGCAACTCCTACACTAGAAGAATCATGATGCTTCTGCCTCTGTGCCCTCTCCTCTGCTCCTTCTCAATTTTCTTTGTTAGGCCTCCTTACCTATCAAACCTCTAATAGATTCCGGATTCGTCAGCGCTAGGTCCTGGCCCTTTTCTCTTTTATCTCCTCTCTCTAGCCATAGGTAATCTCTTCTACCTACGAATTTAAATTTTCCCTCTAAGTTAATGAATCCTAAATTTCTATCTTTAGTCAAGACCTCTGCTCTGACTTCCAAATTCACATTTGGAAGCTCGATGCATTTTGAGTACCTACTAGGTGACGCAGCAATGAACAAAAGAGTAAAAGAGACAAACAAGTAAATGAATAAATATACTCTTTACTTCTTTCCGTAGTGATAAATGCCATAAATCAAAATAAGGAATGATGAAAAGAAAAACATAGGGTTGGGAATCTGTCAGGAAAGGTCCTTATAAGACATATGTGCAGAGATGAGACTGAAATAAGGGAGAAAATTATGTATTGCCTTGGGAAAGAATGTTGTAGGATGAAAGAGCAACAAATGCAAAGGCCCTGGGTGAGAATAACAAGGCACCCAATGGAGAGCTACATTTAGTATAGTACCTTTCTTTTTTTTATTTTTTGAGA